TGATGATGATGATGATGATGATGATGATGATTCAGTGAGGGGGACCGCTGGCTCACCCCACGCCAGATCTTGGCCTTCCTGAGCCTGGCAGTGCCCATAGCTCCTGGTTTGCAGGCAGAGGTTGCAGGGTTGGACCGGAAAGTCCTGGGGACTGCCAGCGCTTGGCAGAAGGAAGAGCTGTTTTGCAGCACAAACCCCGCTTTTCTCTCCCTGGGTGGGATGAAARCTGGAGAGGGTTTCCCCTCCGATGGACAGGGAATACAAGTGCCCTGTGCCATCTTTGTCATCCAGCATRCCAGTGGCATGGGGTTTTCCCAAGTTCCTCCTGACTAACATCAAGGAAAACAGCTTGCAGCCGGGTCAGGCGAATATGTAAAAGGGATTGGGAGTGACATAACAGCTTTCTGCCCAAAGCACTGCACCACAGCTCCACTGGTTTGGCCACAGCTCCTTTTTGAGCTGTGCCCGGCCACCAAGAGCTGGAAAAGCCCAGCCATGCTCTTGAGAGGAACTGGTGTCATGTGGGGAGCTCTGCCCTGGAAGGCAGAAACATATTTAGCCCTGGAAGGCTAAAGYATATTCAGGCTAAATCCATATTCAGCAGTAAATTCTTTGGAAAAGAGCACTGCACAGCACAGGAATGCTGGATCACTTGACCCCGCAATGGAAATCCACTCCTCCTAAAGGTGAAGCTGATTTTATCTCTTCTTGCAAAACCCTCCATTTCAGCATTAACTAACCCACCTCAGACACTTGGGCTGCTCATATTTATGTGTTGACTCTGCCCGAGTGTTGCTACATTTCTGCCTTTGGCAATGCAGCCACCRCAGCTGTCCATGAGCCGGGCAGTCCAGCTGCATGCCATGCACTTTGACCAGTCTTCCCACCTCCACTCCAGTGTCCAGCTAATGCTTTTCTGGGACAGTCAAACAATGCCCGTGAGAGCACCCAGACTATGAGCAACACCCCAAGGACAGACCCAGTGGCAGGTCCAGCTGCCCCCAGTGCGCTGGTAACTTGTCAGAGCACCAGAGAATGAGAAACACATGGAACTGGACACGTCTTCCCACCCACACCCACCACCCTTGCTGCTGGTGTTTCTTTAAATTAGTAACAACACAAAGAATACTCCAGGTAGAGTTTAATTCCAGTGTAGGGAGAAACAACAGCTGGAAAGGAAGGAGCGTACAAGACACAGTACTTGCTTTCGAATAACCCTTCAACCTCAGGGTAATTACTGTTGTGGTGTTCCGAGGAAAACAAGGTCAGGAGGAGGAGAGAGCAGGGCAAGATTCCCAGGGYTCTGCACAAGCAACTAGGACAAGGGTGTTTGTTCAGCCTTTTGAGGGGCTACGGCCTGGATTAGTCTCGGAGAGAATGCAAGACCCAGAGGGAGCTGCAGAAAAAGCATCAGCCTCTCTAAAAACAGAAAGCAAAATGTTTTTCCTTCAGTCCCCAGAGGCATGAATGCCAATGTCCTGAGGAACGTGCATGGGAACGGATATTAAAAAGTGTGTTGTGGAGGCCAGATGGAGCAGTGCTCTCCACAGGACAGTGCTTCTTGCAAGTACCAGTGGCTCTTTGAATGGAGACCTGTGATGGAGAGGGGCATCCCATGAGAAACTACAGTCAGGAAATGTCTGTTCTGTCCCAGCTGGCAGAGAGAAACTCTGGACATGGRGGGCAGAGAAGAGAGAGGAACAACCTGTCAAGGACTGGGAAGAAACAAGGAATGRAGACAGCTCCCACAGGCGAACACCACGCCCGGGCTCCCACAGCCGCCAAGTTTTCGCTTGGGATGGCTCTGCTTGAAAGAGTTGGGTATGTCGAAGGTCAGGCATAATTTCACTCCCTTCTGCAGGGACTACTTAGGCCTTGCTATAGCAGTATTTACCACTGGGTTTGGTTTCTTCTGCGCAGAGATCTGCCAGATTGTGCTGTGTGTAACCCTTTCCAATCTGTACTGATAGCAGAGAGCCTGGTTCCCGTAGCTGGGGTGATAAAGAGGAAAATAGGTAATGATGGGGCCATGCATTTCTCTGATGCAATCCTTTTATTTTCCAGCTTATACAATGATTTTTTTCCTGTGAACAAGAGGTGAACAATACACAACAGATCCCTTGGCCAAGCATAAAGCCCCCATCTGCCATAAAACCAGGGTGCTCTCACAGCTGAAGAACGTGCAGTGACAGCTAAGGTATCAGCACAGCTTCATGTTCCTTCCCTCCCACTCCCTCTCAGACAATCACCTCAGAACCACAGGACCTCTCCCTGCCACTATCAGGTAGCAAAGATGCCCCCGCTCCCCTCCCACGCCCCCCAGCAAACTCCTGCTCAGCCCTTGTATGGACATTTTTTGGGTAGCAGTTCCCATTGTTTCAACTATCTRTTCAGTAAAGGAGCTCACTGGCTTAGGGTCTATCTGTCAATGTTACAACTCAGAGGGATTCCCCACCCAAAACACTCCCACAACACTCAATGCCACATGGTTTTCCTCTCACGCCAGCTTTAAGAGCTCCAGAAAAATCCCTGGCAGAGGTAGCCAGCCCCATCCTTCACAGGTACAACTCTTTTAGAGTTCAAAGTTGTGGTTCYGGCCACAGCACAGGTCCTGGGAAAATTTCCTGCCCCGTGGGATCAAGCCTCCCATCCTGCCACACGTGTTAGCCACTCCAAGTGGGAAGGAGAAACGATCTGCAGCACCACAACAGTGGATTTAGCCCCAGTCAGCTCCTAATCCCTCTAACAGGATAACCAAGGGCTTGTGCCAGCATTTCRAACGTCCTGCAGCCCCAGCCAGCGTCACTGCCTGCTGGCCTACCAGCACGTAGTTTCCAACRAAATAGAACATCTCCACTGGCTGGGACAAKCCTGGCATGTAGCCAGACTTGTCTRTTTAATTTCTTGAAGAAAAAAACKGTTTCCAAACTCTGTGCCCCTTCCACCGAAAGGGCAACAGTTCCTGTACATTTAGGGATGCTAATGGTTAGGAATCAGGAACTTCAGGTATACCCAAAAACACYTAGATACTGAATATCCTCAGGGCATGGAAAGCTCTGTATGGCTACTGATTGCCCTTTAGGATATCGTAAAATGTTGTGATTTAAAAGGAAGAAGGCAAAGGGCAGCACCATCTCACGGTTTYGCTCCACTGCCACCGCTGATCCTGTTGGCGCTCAGATGACATTCCAGCCAGTTTAACTTCAAGTCCTTTGCTCTAACCTAAATAAACAAGATTATACCCATCTTAGAGCTTGTGTCTGTGTAAGGTACTTAATATAAGCACCTTTATATAACCCCCTCCTTTGAATCCTTTGCAGTMTTTAAGGATTTATCCATGCTTATCTCCAGCAGGAAAGGTGTTGCCTTCATCTTCATTTGGCAGATGGGAAACCGAGGGCTGGTGGGGTTGGTGGAGCTGGAGGGAAGGACACATCTCCCTTTATTTTGGCCATCCAAAAGCCAGACATGAAGGTTTGGCCTCTTACACACACTGCCTCATCAGCCAGTGGTAACAGCACCACTTCTAAAGGCCATTTTTATGTGCTACAGCAGGAATTACCCTGGGGAATACCCGTCTCCTCACTGATGATGGATTAGCACCGACCTCAGGCCAGGATTAAACCCCTGCGTGGCCGTGCTTCCCTGTGGTGCTCATCTCAGAGCACTGCCCAGGACAGATGGAGCACAGCCCACATCCCACACTTGCCTTGCCCTCTGTAGCCTGTTGCTGGGGAGCACCAAGCCGGTAACACAAGCCCACACTCCCTGGTACACCACGGTGCACAATCGAAACCTCTGATGGATTAAAAGCTGTGAGCTTCTGACCGTGCCTGAGCTCTGAGCAGATGCCACAGGAAGATAAGCCATGGTCTTTTGTTCTTTTTCAGGAAGCTCTTCWCAAGCTCCTGCCTTGACACAAAGCACTAAATTGTGTACTTGATAGTTTTATTATCCAGGTTTCTCTGATAACCCAGGTTTCTGTGGCAGGTTTGTGATCCTCACCCTGTTATCA